TACACACAGCTTGTACTTCAACATACCTTGTTAGTGTAGCTCTTCCTTTCCCCTTAGCACTTGGATGCACGTATTGTTTGTGAAGGTCGGGGGCTCTGCCTCCTTCTTGATCTACTAGGACAAGAATTCTTCATCTTCAAGAATTACCAGTCACAGAAATGCAAGTTCTCTTCCAAGAAAACTTCTAGGTTCCTATTGTTAATCTAGTGGAAGCAAAAGCGGCTGACACACTGCTGGGGCCATGCAATGAGACGAGACTTGGACGAGAGCAGATGAACATCCCCAGAGCAGGGATGGACAAGGTCTGAAACTACTTCGAAGTTAAAAGACAAATCCCCAAATCCACCTCAGAACTTTGTTACACAGACACCACAGGTGATAGGAATTGATGGCAGGAAAAAACAGGGGGTGTTGTCAACCACTACTGATACCAGACCTCTAGTTGTGAAAAGGCTGAAAGGACCTGAAGGGGTTTGCAGACTGTCAGGATGTTGGCTGTGTTCCTGACACACATGCCTAATGCTGACCTTGGGAAGCCTATCGCAACCAGAGCAGAGTTTTGGAGCAAGCCACGTGTGCTCAGTATTAGCAGGCTGTGAACACCTAAGGAAAGCAAGATCCTTTTTAATGAACGTTTCCTAACTGCTGCACAGCTCGGGTGGTCTGTCCTTTGCTGTGCAAACCATTCCTGCCTATGTACAGTTACAGGTAAAGGAATCTTTCTGACAACTCTGCATTTCCCCCCCGATTGGAAACATCTTTGATGGTTGCTCCTCCTTCCCATGCCTGTGTCTGAAAATGACACAGACCACCAGACGCACTGCTGCAGCTGAGCTCTGCTTGTGCAAGACCCAGCAATGAGGGAGAAAGTGGGTACAAATTAAGCTTCTGTTTCTTTGGTCCTAGGATAAGCTGCCAGAGGCAGTACTGCAAAGGCAGCAGTACTGGCAGCTACAGGTCCCTGAGAGGTTGTGGAGGGCAAGCTACAAGACCCCGTATGGTTCTGTCTATAGAGGTATTGTGATATAAACACTGGCACCTGCTTTCTGGCTATGTTGCACAGCCAGAAGAGTGGACATGAGCCAAACTGACTTCAGGATCTAACACAAAACTCTGTTCTTCGTTCCCAAACATTTAACATAATGGGAAAAATTAATCCTACTTTTCTGAAATAAGTGGAGTGAAAAAAGAAACTAATGCTACTAAGCAAAATATGGATTTTTAAAAGTATGCTATTCAGTGATGTGTTCTCTGCTTAGCACCATTCAGAAGTAGTGCACATATGCAGCGTTACTAAGAATATGTAAACAAGACAATCTGAACATTGCTTTGCAGAGTCAGGTCCATTTCCTGAAAAAAACCCAATGTATAGAGGGGCACTTCACTGACATGTCCAGTTACTGAGGCTGAAATGTGCTCGTTTGGATGGAATTTCTTGATGTTCCTTTTCTTTAATTGTGTTTTGACATCCAGACCTAATCTCTAATCAGGTTTATCTTTGGCCTCAAGATCCAAGATTTCTGCAGTCAACCAAATTAAGTGCTTTTACTGACATCCACAGTTCTGCAGAGAATTAAGGTCTGCAACAGTTTTCCATTTCTCTTTCCGTGCAGTATTTCTGAAAACAGGTTTTGAATTTGACTTTTGAATGTGGTGTTCATTAAGCGCTCTTCAGTACTGAATATAAAAGAAGATAGAACGAATTGAGGTTTAGCCTTTTACTAAAGGTAAACCTGAAGTTGACCCCTAACTGGTAGAAAAATGAGCAGAAATCAGAAATCTTTCACAACTGATAACTTGAAAGACACATCCCAAAGTATTATTTTTTAAATGACGCATTGTTCATTCTTGTGTGGTTTTCTTTAAAGGAATTATCCTGCAAATGCCACCGACAGCATTAAAGAATACTTGTTAGTGTTACATCTGGTTTAGCCCTTTATTTATTTTTATTTTACCTGAAAATGTATTTTCTTAGAGACCTTATAACAGCATTTCTGCATTATCAGTTCATTTTGTCCTCCTATTTCCTGGATATATTAGCCAGGAAAAGGAATTCCCAGTCTGTAACAGACACATTAATTCACACATTTTACTTTGTCCACATAGAAAAATGCAATTTCTGGATCATTGAGGCATATGGATTATGAACAAGACACTCCAAAAACTAACTATCCAGATGGGGATATACTTACAAAAATCTTTTATGTCAAAGTCAGGATTTCACAACATAACACCCTAATAATGCAAAATCCAGTAGCACCTGAAAGATTAAGGTAACTGCTGCTATCACTTGCACATACTTTCAAAAGAGTTAAGAAAAAAATAAACAGTAAAATTACATTCTCCAGAGAACAGCAAGTGTATTTCAAAATAAAAAACTGCATTTTTGATTTTTCTTTTTTTTATTTTCATTTTTTTTTGTTCATTTGTTTGGTTTGGTTTTTGTTGGGTATGTATTAGACTTTTGGTAATTCTGCTTTTTTATTTTACAACACTGTAGTTGCCATATAAGAAGTTACAAACAATGTGACTGCTCTCCCCTACAGTGCAAGTTCATGGTCATGTTTTCAGGCTATAGTACTCAACACTGTTTCCTCCTATATATATATTCCTACAGAGGTATAGTACCTGTCTCTGGGAAAGTAATGTTCCAAGTGGGCAAACTTTCATTGTAAAACAGAAGTGGAGAGTCTACAGTAGGTATAGCCACCTAAGTATGAACTTTAGATTGCAATTTCTAAACACTCACCTACTGTACATAAACATTAAAAATAGTCTAAGCAATAGGACTTTATTTATATGTGCACGTGTGTCCACCTTATCCCACATTTATGTTTGGCAACTATTTGGGAATTCAAAGGTGCAGTCCTCCGTAACTGTATTGTTAAAATAAAAAACAAAAAAAAAAAAGAAATGAAGCATATCTACTCTATGAGAAAAGAAATTCTCAAATATCAATTTCCAATTTTAAATTTAATTTCAATAGGAAAATATTAAAAATGTGCACATCTAAATTTTTCCATGTTCTGTATATACATATGTGTGTGTACGTATACATAGAAATACTCATGTACCACACATAGTCACAAAATTTAAGTGGAAATATTTCTGTCCACTATTTTCCCACATGTAAATGACATAGTATCTTTAAAAAGTCAATAATAATATCATTAAAAATAATATTACATTTATTCCATCATTAACGTTTTGTGTTTTTGTTCTTTCTTCATCCTTAGTATGTCCACTGAGCATCAACAGGCCAGATTCTCCTTGTACTTCCACAGATGTTATGACAACTGAATCTTAGTGACACTCAGTTGTCATAACACAAGGACACATCAAGGACACATCCGGTTTACAGCAGCTAAAGTGACAGGAGAATCAGGCCAAAACATCCCCAATAAAATTAAAAAAATGGTAGTATCTGCTCATCTGGACATGATGAAGATATACACACCACCGTGTAAAATCCACCGAATGCAAAACATGTAGCTCACCACAAAGTAAGTTTTCAACCAGCAGCACGCTGAACCAAGCTCCCCCCACCCCTTTAATAAATAAAATAAATGAGAAAATACCCCCAAAATATGGAGAAAACTTAAACATTGTCTACATTACATACCGTATAATACACAACGGTTTAGCATTTGACCTAAACCATTTTCCTGACTAGTCAGGGGAGACCTGATAAATCACTGGTAAAGAAAAAAACCCCAGTATTTTAGAAGTAAAGCATGTATTTCTAATAAAGCATGTATTCTAATAAACCTGATAAATCACTGGTAAAGAAAAAAAACCCAGTATTTTAGATATAAAGCATGTATTTCTAATAAAAATGAGAACCTGTGTGTATTGCATGGTGTACATACACACAGTACGCACATGAAAACAAACTTATATGTTCTAGTTTTGAATAGTAGTCTCTAAGTGGAGAAAATTGTGTTGTACAAATTTAAGAAGCAGCTAGATTTCATGTTTAACATTCAAATTAATTTGGGGAGCGAACAAAGGTCCATGCATCTTTTGACTCTGAAGTCTGACATTCATTCTTACATTTTAAAAAAGCCCTCTTCAGCATTACAAGCAGTTTATGGCGAGAATGTACTTTGATGCAAGATGCATGACACTTGGCTTACCTTTCAAAGAGGTTTTTGTTTTTTAAATAAATCTATTATATAAAGACATGTGTGTTTGCCAAAAGTCTGTTAAAATTACATCAAAACAACTTTAAAACCTGCTCACTGAGGATAATTGAATTCAGTTTCCTGTTTTTAAACATTTAGTTAACAGTTCAGAATATTGCCTGGTGTGTTTTCAATTAAGATGTGATATGACGACCTTAAAAGAGTAAACGTCTCCATTTCAATTTGCTATGACAATAAAACTTCTACAAGCAGCTTTCTTGGTTGGACAAGTTCAGCGTACGAGTAATTCCTTGCAATAGCTCTACGCCCTTAATGCAATCTGTAATAAAACAGTACTCTTCATAAGCCATTATTCACAAAACCTGAAATTCATGAGACATTCTGAAAAAGTCTCCTGCAGAACAGGGTAACAGTTAATTGAACATACATATTCGATATATGTATCAAGGCCAGAAAACAAATGACGAGCTATTCCTTGTTATCTGTGCATGTCAAATTTATATTTAAAATTCCCAGGGGGTTTTTGCTTTTTTTTTTCCCCTTCCCCTTTCTGCTGGGGGACTCACCTTCCATCATTGGTTGGCTTCAAAATACAGTTAAGTGGAAGATAGCATCTCACTGTAATTACATGGAATTCATATGAGAAAGTAAACCTTACATTGGACAATATTGCAGAACACCAGAGTAAGCTCCATAAAGAAATACCATATCTTCCAGTATATATATATGTGTGTGTGTGTGTACATATATATATATATGTAAAAAAAAAATCCAAACCAACCAACCAAAAAACCCCCGAAGAAAGAACTTTATACAAGCAGTTATAGTGACTTTTTTTCAATTAAAGATGCAATTCTCTCTCACTCCTGGCAAGAATAAATTGGTAATGGCACTGCTTTTCCACAGTGCAAAGTATCCTGAGAAATTATTAAGAACAACAAAATAAAGGGCTGTCATCACTAAGTTCTTGCACAAACAGCAATTAAATATCTTAAATAAATAAAACAGCAGACAACCTATATTGTATCTATCACAAAAAGGGGAAGTGACCTGGGGCACTGCTAGTTCTTCCACATCTCATAATTAGAAAAGGATTGCATTCAATTACTTTTAATATCTTTCAAGTTATCTGTGGCCAATAACGTACAAGGAGGTAATTTGTAATTCAAGTTTTTTTGTTGTATTTTTTCTTCATTGAGATACAGCTAAGTAAGTTCTAAATTTTACATTGAAATATGACTCGAATTTAAAACAATCCCTCCCAGAGGAGCATTCTCTAATTTTGTGCAACTTTGATGCAGAGCCCAACACAGTCTTATGAAGAGAGACAGTGCATCTTTAAACTGATTGGCACTGAAAACCCATTTTCTTTAGCTGCATTCTATCAGCTTGGCCAAGTTATCTCGTAACTCTGATAGTTCAAATATTTTTCCATCAAGAATTTCTAAAAGTGTCTTCAAGTTATTGCGAAATGCTTCTTGCTCATTCTGACTTTTCTCCAGACGTTGCTCTAGATCAGACAGCTGGCCTTCCAGGTCTTTGTTTCGAATTTCTACTTCCTTCAGAGAAAATACATAACATGTTAATTGTGTCGTCTACAAAGAGAAAGCAGTCTCACCTCCTGCTGGTATTCGTGTGCTGGTTTTGTCAACTGATTTCTAAAACAATTTGCAACCCTCTACAATTTCCTCTACGCCAAAAACAGAACCCAAATTGTTATTGCAATCACATATGTACTGCCAATTCCTCCATTTTTTCAGTAACGCATCTGAAGGTCAGAAACTTTTGGAGAAGGATAAAATTTAGTCAGTAAACAACAGATGTAATATACTTACTCTGGTAAGTTATTGCTTATATCATTCAGAAATGTACCACCTACTGAAAACAGTTCCTCAAAGGTTTACTTAAGTTCAAGTATTCCCTGATTTAGACTACATGAATTACTCAAGGACACAGTTCCCATTAAAACATGTCATACAGAAACCCATCCAGTATACTGCTTTATGGATGGAGGAGTACTGCTTTATTCCTGTCCCACATTACAGGCCTTTTCACCCTAAAAATTAAGACAGAAACATCAACCAGCAAGACTGATGTCAAGGTGACACCGATTGTGACAAATTTAAACCAAGCGAGCGCAGCCTGAACATCTTGTCTCGCTGCACTGCGCCCCAGAGCAATCTCTGCAAGCGCTCGCCCCACAGCAGCGCACCTCTGGGGGCAGGAAAGCACCAGAGCCATCAGCGCTGTGAGGACAAGTTGTTCCCATACAGCGGGTGGATAGAGGAGGTGATGCTGCGTTACACACAGCTGAGGGGATCGCACCCTGAGCAGGCCCAGCTCTAGTCCAGAGCCTGACTAGGGAAGGAGGTCACAGCCACTCGGCTCTGTGCAAACTGGGTGCCCTCTCTTCTATCAGTTGTCTAATTTAGCTGTTGTGTGGGTCTGGAACTGCACATCTCAAAAATTCATGCTAAATTTTCTAATGTCCGTTATGAGAAACACTTTCAAAGGCAGCACAGGGAGAGTATATTCAATACACCACACACCCTGTGGAGCCATTCCTTGGAAAAGTGCATAGTGAATTCATACACTTACATACATGAACATGTTTTGAATATTGCTTCCCTCCAGTGGCTTTGTGTCACAAAGCTTTAATGGACCTGCTCTGAGTTTTTACAACAACTACTTTCACAAAGCCATAGGAAGGGAGATTTGGCAGCAGCCACCACTCCAAGACCAAGTGACTCCTTTTTCTGCCCTCTCATTCTCCCACGGGTTTTGTTACGATTCTTCTGTCTTCCTCAAAGCTAACAAATATATTCGTGTTTACACTGGAAAGATCTCAGCTAACCATAAGAAACATCTTATGGTTAGAAACATCCCATTATGGTTAGAAACATCCCATACAGGATATGCATTCGGGCAATCAAGAGTAGCAAGTATGAAATGGCAGCCTTGTGTCAATGTCTGTGGCCCAAGACATATTTCCACCCACAAGGAGTCTGTTGGCAGCATCAACTGGCCGCTGCATCCCTGGCCAGTGGAGGGATTGGGTGATGTGGCCAGTGCTCAGTTTCGGCTCCCAGCCTCTGGACTGGGGGAGAGCTCTGGGATCCCCACAGTAGTGCAGGTGGAGAAGGCAGAGCCTCAAGAACCTGATCTCCCCATATTTCTCGCTACTTGTGCAGCCAAGGGTTATGTCCAAGCTGAACTGCAATACCTCCCTTACTTCTTGTTCGTAAATGGACAAGACAAAAATTACAGTTTTGGGCACTGGTTTTGGACAGCACAGCTGGGAGAAGGAATTATCCTTTGCTGCCAGGACCAAGAGATTAATTAGTTTAATCTGTTTAACACTGAGCAATACAGTTGCCAAAGCACTAAAGAAAGCTCACTGAAAAGAGTATTTGTAGGAACAATTAAAAAACATGTATGCTTATATAGTGATTTGCTACCCCACTGCTGCTATAAACAAACAAGCTAACTATAACCCAGCCGTACCCTCTGAAGGTTTTGCTTCACTGAGCCTACCCCTTGCCCTCCACAACTGAGTACTGACAAGTACTACCTGGTGTATGCCTGCACGGGTTCAAGACTCTCTGTGACCAAGTGACTGCAGTACAGGACTAAAAGGGAAATTTAAAGTCCTTTCAGCTCTGCAGGAATGACACAGTCCTTTCTTTAGCTTCCATAAAACCAACTGCTGTTTGACAGTGTTTACTCAGATGTCCTGTCACTGCTCCTCTTCTACTCATCATATGTGTGTGCTCTAGAAACATTCCTTGCAAATGCTCTTACCCCTGACATAATTAATTTCTACAAGCAGACAAGCCATTGATGAAAGGGACCACTCTGGAACAAATGGACAGATACATACATGGCCCTATTTTGAGATATTTGGGCCTGAAGAATATCCCATTGGCCTGTATCTAATGCTGAAAATCATTGTTCGGGTCCTCCTCAGACACTTTTACACTGAAGTATTGTTCTGCTGTGACCTGTTAGGGTGGTAGCACTCAGGTAAAACCAAAAGCTTTGTGTTAGATGTAGGCACTTCCATCCATATTCAGCCACAGACTAATTCTCCATTGCTAGTCCTCACCCTGCATGTCTTCAAAGAAGAGCTCTGTTCTTTTGTTTAAACTTCCAGTTTGCATATTTTATTTATATTCCATTCTTGACATCTCTTTCCTAATCCACATACACTTAGCTTCCCAAACATTTCCTCAGATAGACTTTCTCCCACACTTCCTCCTATTTTGTTTTGCTTAAGTGATGCTTAATGTAGGGGAAGCAGAATCAACTGAAATACACCAGGAGCTATTGCTTTTAATTTCTGCAAAACACTTCTTCCCAAATTTTACGTTTGATCCTTACACTAATTTACCCTAGACTAATACTAACGATTTTTTTCTCCATAGTATTGCATTACAAGTTCATGTCCAGCTCATGTGCAGTTTCCTGTTACAAATAAATCTACCTCTGGAAGAAGCGGAGAGGTGTCAATGTAATGTAATCTGTTCCCTAGTTGGGTCATTTCACTTTATTTGCAGTTAATCTCACCTAACAATAAACTGACTCTTTTGATACATTCAGACCCTTTGCAGAGTGTATTTTACCCTGTTTTTAAAAGCTCTTCTTACAGCAGATGCAGTAATTTCTCAAACACTGTTTTCTTCTAGAAAAGAAATAAATTATTAACAAGTTATTGTTTGTTGTTTGCACTGTAATAATATTCTGTGGAATTAAGTGCAAGGATCTGAATAAAATATTTGAACCATACACAACTGCTATATTTGGAAATCAGCCATAGTAATAAAGATATCCTGACTTACTGTTAGAGTCACACTGATCATGACTCACTGAATGCCTTCTCAACATTGCTAATGGAATTACTAAGTAACAAGGGCCTCAGTACTTACCCTTCACAGTGATAACATACTGCTTTTCATTGGAATTTGCCAATTGGATTTCTAATTCATTCCCTGGTGTAAGTGCGTCAGAAATGCAATACACCTTTAAATAGTAATTTTTTGGTATAGCTTTTTTCATACAGACTATAGTCCAAATTATTTTAGTGTTACATAATCCATTTGCAAGCACAAGAGGGAAAAAACCCAGCACAATAAAAAAAGAGTACAGACCCTGAGGATAATCACCCTGAAAATAGATGACGAGTCAACTAAGTGAACAGATGTGAGGTGGTTTGTCTGGAGCTACAGAAGAAAACACCATTTCACTGACGTCACAGATGTAGGGTGGCTCAGAGTAGGCTGGTGTAATCAAAGCAGGACAATTACAGCAAAGCGAAGACTCAAGATCTCTTACACAGGTTGCATCAGGTCAGTAATAAACTTCAAGCTTAAGAAAGGCAACTTTTAAAGAAGATCCTAAGCAAGCTTTAAATCTACTTGAATTGAACCATGTAGAACTATTTTCAGAAACTCATCACGTACAACATGACATATGGACATATATAGACAATATATCCATACTAAAGATATACCAAAGACAGCTACTGACCTTATAAAATACAATTTCAATAAAAACTTTTCATTTTCTAATCTTCAATCTTTTACTAGTCTTTCATAAATCTGTTTGCTAAGGATAGCTCATTCTTGGCTCAATATTATTTTTCATACGATCTTACAATGAAATTATTGCATATGCTACTGCTAGAACAATTTCCAAATTTCATTATAATCTCCCTTTTGAGTCTCCCAGATAAGTACTTTTTCAGCTGAAAACTCCCATTTTTAGCCTAAAGCCAGCAACAATTTTTAGAATAGTGGAACAGGCAAGCTCAGGTGTATTCAAAGCAATCCTTAAACATTGTTTAAAGTAATAGCATACTTTTTCCTAGTAATTTGACTTACGAAGGGGGAAAAATGAATAAAACCATTGTGTTCTTATATGGCTTACTCTGTAGGCTAAAATGAGATGGAAGGAAGTTCCTATTCATGTTAACACATTTCAAAGAGTAACTACTGAATAATTTTTAAGCTGTGGCTAGTCTGATGGGGCATGATTTAGGTCGAGCCACAGAACAGCAAGGGCCACATTTCAGCACTTTGGAGCTATTTAATACCTGAGTTTGCATTCCTACTAAAACTCTGAAGTCTGAATTCAGAGTTTAATCCATCTTTGGTTGACTCTTACTACAAACGCAGATTTCACAGGGGAGGTGTATATGTGTTGACTGGTCAGCCCAGCAACAGACAGACCGAGGTAGCAAGAGAGAATATACTAAGGGCACACTGATTCTGGTAAAGCTGAGGTATCTGGCTTTACACACAGTAAAGAAACAACCCACAAAACCCAATGAAACCACAATGATTCTAAGTCCAAGAAAATGTCAAAGTGTGTTTTTAAAGACTGCATTACACATGAAGTCTTTAGCCTTTACTTTCTCAGGTCATGTTTAAAAGCTGAATACACTCATCCCAAGCTGATGATATACAGCCTGATGGTTTCAGTGGCACACAAGACCTATGGGAAGACACTGCAAGTGAAAATGAGACCAGAACTGCCCAGAACATATATTCTTGAAAGACTTCTGCTAGCCTGAGAGTACTCTCTGGAGTTGTAAATGAAATCTGGGACTGTTCCCTCAGGTAAAAATAGCAACTTGCAGCAGGCAGAAATTTTGATACAAATTCCTAAGGATCATCCCACCCTACCACTTTGCAATGCAGTTTGATTTACACATTTATCTGGCACCTTCAGTGAATATAGTTCAAGTTGCTGATACAACCTGCTCACTTGATGATCATTTTTTTCCTTCTCTCTAAATTACAATGATGCATTATAGCTCACCTGTAACTTCTGGGTCAGAGAATCCCTCTGTGCCTGGAGCTCTCTGGCGTTGTCGATTTCTTGTTTCAATCCTTCTATTTCCTAAGGAAGAAGAAACAACCTTGCTAGCAATACCTTACCTTGGCTTGGTAAGGTTGTCTTGGCTGCAGGTAAGCTGGCTACTGCTTCTCCTCCTGAGCAAGCCATTGCAATGATACCAAAATTGGCAGTTGGCTACTGCCCATCACAGCACACGCTTAAGCCCTGCACTCAGTACTCACGAATCACAGTCCTAAATCAGTGATTCCTTTGTGAATAAACAACAATAACCATTTTCTTTTATAAATGTCCACTTTTTCTTTCCCACAAAAAAGATCTGAAATATTTTTCTCCCGGAAAATTAAGGGTGCTTGGAATTAAGAGAAACAATATTATACTTTAAATTCTATTAGAATCTATCCTACTTTTTTTTTCACAAGAGAAAGATCTGATTTTCGTCTGTGAGTTGCATATTATGTCACTAGCAGCAGTGCCGAGCATCAGAAAATTTACCATTGATGTTGTACAAAGAGTCTAAAAGAAACGGTATCTTTAATTTAGCAAGAAAAAGTAATAAGGTATAAAAATAACAAATACAAATAAAATAATGAGTGGAAGAGAAACCTTTTCTTAACTTACTTTCTAGAGGCAAGAATAGAAACAGGTAATGAAACTAGAATGTATCCAAGTACTTCTCCCTGGAAGGACATATTCACCTCCCAGAACTCCTTGCGGAAAGTTCTCTTTGCAGCCAATAGCTGAGCATAATTCAAAAGTGAATGGGCACAGTAATGGGAAACATTACCAACCTGAGGCTAATCTCTTAAGTATGAGGTAGTTTGGAAAAGGTTTTGTTCCATTTTGGGAGGATATTCTGTAGTTACTGTGCCTCAAGGCACCCCCTGAGGGCTCAAGGGATCTTGTCTCATAGGGACAAATACTCCTTCATACACAGCTCCTTCCACCTCCTTTTTTCCATCCATAAAGAAGCAATTCTTGATCACTCTGTGACACAAATCTTCTTTCCTCTAGGATTCATGCCAGTGCAGGTATTACTCCAATTCCTTTTATTTTCTTGCTGCTGGTCCAGCCAAAGGCAGAAGCCACAGTATCATCAAGTTTCAAGCCAGGGGTTTGGCATGTGTTTTAAGTAAAGGGCTCATCTTGTGGGACATAAAAGTCAGCTATATTAACATAGCCTGAAAAAAAGACTGGCCTGAAAAAGGTATTGATCTGTTACTCGTTCCAAACCCTACTCTCCAGAAAAAGGAAAGCATTCTTACGACAGCTTCTTTTCTTAGTGAATTTGGACTGCATCAGAGTGATGACTGCCCTGTGGAAGCCACTTGTGACTTACTCCTGAGAACAGATATGTTTGAAAAAAGCGAACTGGAAAACATTGTTGAGTTTTTTATGTTGTTCAGATACCCAGCTCTATACAGGGAAAAATACTAACCATTTCAAAATAATTAATAGATGAAAAAAATTCTACTTGATCAACTGAAAAAAATTTACTTTGCAACATCTAAACAATATACTATTTACCAGCCATCACAAGCTTAATATTGAAAGCCTTCAGAAATGTCAGAAGAGAAAAGCCACAAATAAATGTTAGAAAATACCTCTTCTTTTTTCTTCAGCGTAGATTCTAGCTCCTGTATTGTCTGGTTTAATTCTGTTTTATGAGTGTGGACTGCATTGGCTTGACTGCTCACACACTCTAGCTCAGTCACCTGTTGAAATACGCAGAAGTAACACACACAGAATAATTTCAACAAATTCCAGGTACTATTACTCTTTGCACCACTAGCTGCATGTGAAATATACCTTTCATTCTGGGTGACTTCTATTGATTAAAATGGTGAAGGTATTCTAGGAAGTTCGCAAAAAATTCCTTAACAAATTGTTTAGTACAAAATGGTTGACATGACTTTTTGGAAACAATAGATTTATTATGTTGCAGGCTGAAAATAACATTAATTAAAAATTATACTTCCTAATTATTGTAAATTTTATGAAATAAGCTGAATTACCATTTCAGAAATAGTAGTGTCTAGACAATTAAACACAGATCTAACCTCTCCTTCTGACACTTTTTAATGCTACACCACCTGAATCAACTAAGCCACAATGCTCACCCACTTCCTAGCAACCCAGTTAACTTTTCAGAGCCTCTATTTCTGACTCTGCATCAACAGGGTTATAGCAAATACTCAGCCACCAATGTATTGCTGCTAGCTTCTTACTTTCTCTAGTTTCAGACCTAATCTATCAATCTCAAAGCCAACAACTAATGGTACAATTTGGATTTCACATTTCTTCTTTATCATCAGAGAGCAAACTTTTAATAACTTTTTAATAATATCTTTAATAACTTTTAATAACTTTTTTCTCCCAGAAGATATGAGCCTGTCAATCTTCGTATACATTTTTCAACAAAACTGCAGCATCTACCTACAGTAACTAACAAATCTGGCCCCAAAACTCCTTTGTACAAAGTGCTACCCAATTCTGCAACGAAAACTTTTGGGTCTCCATTTAAATTTCTTGGAGAATCAGCCTCAGACAGAGGGCAGGCATTCTCATGATAATTTTATTTCTTAAGATAAAAGAACATCTTGAGGAATTAAGGTCTGTACCCTTCAGCACCAGTGTACTTTAATTAGCGAAGCCACTGTGATGCCAGTCATTTTTCAGACTCCGAGCGATCTGTAGGCTCAAAAGGTAGATTACTGAGTGAAGTCAAAGGAAAGCCATGAAATACAAGAAAATTGAAACAAATTCCCTATCAACTTCTCCTTTCTGAGTCAGGGCATGAACTTCCTCTCTGTAACACCTGTGACGAGGTTTCTTCTACTGGAAAACTGTAGACATTTTGCAAATGTGGACATTTTGTAAATGTCTACATTTTTTTTTTTTTGTTTTGTAAATGGCAAGAACTGAGATTACAGCAAAATCTTGTGAGGGGTAGGGGAATGAGGGATGAGAATATAGCTTGGTAACATGACACCCAACACCTCACCCCGGAGAATTATCTTCTGGAATTGCCCCAAAAGAAGTATCAGTGCTCACGGCAAAAAGTAATAGCAGTTTGCTCAGATTTATATGCCACTGAGCATTACAGCTGATGTCTTTATTAGATAATTTTCCCCATTTGCTTTTACACAAGAATGTGTCTATTTAGATTCCTGTGACTGTAATCGATTGTGACTTTTACAGTATTCACCACTAAAATTACAAAACAAGCAGAATTGGAACACAGGGATAAACTTAGGACTACATAATGGCTGAATCTAGATATAGCAAGAATTAGAGGCACAGAGTAATTTAAGCTGGAAGGGGGCCCTGGTGGTCATCTGACTGAGACCTCCAGCTCCAAATAAGGCCAATTCTGAGGTCACATTTGGTTGCTTAGGATCTTGCTCAGTCAAGAACCCTTCACTATCTAGCAGAGCTGCCACAGTTTCACGCAGATTCCTGTATTTCTGACATTGCAGGTTTATGCAGAGCTTTAGCTCATACCTAAGTTTTGCTGAAACTGTCAAACGCACCTTGCTCACATTCACCCCTTCTGATGTTTAACTCCTAAAACATTTCTAAGCTTTTCTGCTGAGTTTTGAATTGGAGGTGGAAGCCTCCGTGCACCCAGACCCTGGAGGGGTTAGGAGGTCAGGCCATTTCCCACCTGTTGTGAAAGACTGGAACACTGCATGACAACCTCCAAGAAGGTCAATCTCTCTTTTAAAGCTGTTTGATTCAGCAATACCCACTGGCTTTTACAAAGAACTCACACAGCAAATACTCATTTACAAAGTTTAAGAGCCTCAACTGGAGAGACAGAAGAATACCCAGTCTCCAAACCACCTCTGTCCTAGCACCTTGTGCCTTGGAAGCAAGTGTGAAGAGGTGTCTCATCCTGTCACTAAGGAAGTGCTTGGACCCACTCTGTTCTCCACATGGCTTCCTAGCTGAGGAAACACACAGAGACGATGCATGTGTTGGTGCAAGCCAGGAATCCAAGGAGGCTGGTGTATTGAACTGTGGTGGATGGAATGTTACTGCTCTCAGCTGCATGTATTGTCAGTGGCTGAAAACACTTGCCGCAACAGCCCCGACAGCTACATGGCTCATGTGAATGCTTCCCAGTGTGCTCTGGTCCATACTAACTCAAGACACCTATTAGAATTGCTTAAGCAAACAACTAATTTGCTTGAGCAGAGCAGGGAGCACACTCGCCCTTCTGCTGTTGTCTTGCCAACATAGACAACTACTGTCAGAAGGGCAATTAACTACCAGCACTAAAAGGGCTGTGATGTCTTACTCTGGTCCAGCTTTACTCTGGGCAAACATCTATCACCTACTGCTTATGCACGAAAGCAATGCATTGTTCAGCTGTTTTGCTTCCTGTTTGTTGAAGACTCAGTAAGTTGAAAAGAAAAATTAAATTTAAAAAATGGGGTTACTTTAATCGCAGCCTTATTTAAATACCCATTCCTACAGAGATCTGAAAAGATGGCAAATATCTTCATTATGCTATCTTCTTGAGTGTACCTATAAAAAAGAAAATCATACTGTCACCCTTTCAAAAAAATCTGCAATACAAGAAATATGTGATTGAAAACAGAAGTAACAGAAGATAAAGCTCTAGGCAAAAATCTGGATAGCATTTACTTGCTCTCTTTCCTTGTTTCAAATTGAATTTATTTTTCTTGTGACCAGTGGTCCAAATAACATTAAAAATAACTGTTTATGCATTATGCACAGAAGGGGGCACAAAAGGAAGCTCCCTGACCCTACCACCTGCTGTTTGTAGGGACATCTCTTCATGTTTCATGTTTAAGAGCAAGCCTCAATCAATTGTTCAAGCCTTTGCACATTAACACTGAGCAATGTACCTGTGATGAAGCCTTGTTTTCAGTATAGAATTCAGACTGAAAGAACAGTCTTTGAACAACAACTGATTAAACAAAGTTCTTCTATTGTGCTATCGTAAGACTGCACTGACTTGTATATCTGAAAAAAGGCAATACTGTGGCTTCGTATTTGAGACTAAACAAGAAAAAAAACAATGTTCTTAGCCACTGTTTCTTTATTTTGCATTTATCACGCAGGTGAGAATTACACGTACGGAAAAAAAATTCTTGAAGGGCTTTTCAGTGACTATTTAATGAGCTAACTCTTCTAGTATATGGCTGGCATTGTATTTAACTACGTACTTCAGTGAGAAATGCATTAGCTGAAGTAAGACAGGTAGGCAACTTGTTCCTGCAGAGCTTTCTCAGCAGAGGCCATTCTAGTGTTTTCTGGAAACTTTAATATAGGGTAAACAACCTATAAATACAGGAGGAAGCCAGGCAGAAGTTTTCATTGCAGCAGACTGTCAGCACACACTGGGCTGCAGTGAAGATTGGAGGAATTAAGCTTTGGGCCACTTAACACAACAAGGAGTAACTGCCTTGATGTGAGCTTAAAACACTAGCTCTCCAAAGCTTCAAAGGACTGAAGAATCTCTCAAAGAAAACAAACCAAATCAAATCACAAAGAAACCAAGAGAAGAGATGCATCAAATCCCAGTAAGACTACTTCACAAGCAAAGACTTCAGTTAGTCAAAGAAGTGAGAATGACAGTAATATTTTGAGTGATCACCTTCCCCAAGCAATTACAAAATGAATGAATCTGCGCTGTTAGCTGCAAGTTGATTTTTTTTTCCTAAATCACTTTCTCAAGATAAATTTGTACGCTTCTGTTCTCAAGCAACAATAGTGTTTATTCAGCATCTTAAATTCAGTATCAACAGATCATGAAATTCCTTCTAAACTTCATACAGGAATTACCTCAACTTCTACAGAAATGCAATGAACATAGAATCATAAAATCAAATATTTAGGTTGGAAAAGACCCTTGAGGTCATCAAGTCCAACTCTTACTCTATCACTGACAAGTGCACCACCAAACCATATCATTGAAGGCCTCATCTACATCTTTTATTTAAACCACTTTCTGAGGCAGCCTGTTACAATACTTGACAACCCTTTCGGTGAAGAAACTTTTCCTAAAATTCAGTCAAAACCTCCCCTGGCGCAGCTTGAGGCCATTTCCTCTTGTCCTGTTGCTTGTCACTTGGGAAAAGAGACCAGCCACCACCTTGCTCCTTCCTCCTTTCAGTTGGTTGTAGGGAGCAACAAGGTCCCTCCCAAGCCTTTTCTTCTCCAGACTAAACAACCCCAGGTCCCTCAGCCATTCCTCATCACACTTGTGCTCCAGACCCTTCGCCAGCTCCATTGCCCTTCTCTGGACCCACTCCACCACCTCAATGTCTCTCTTGCAGTGAGGGGTCCAAAACTGAACACAGGATTCAAGGTGCAGCCTCACCAGTGCCCAGTGTAGGGGGATGATCACTGCCCTGGCCCTGCAGCCACGCTATTGCTGATACAGGCCAGGATGCCATTGGCCTTCTTGGCTGCCTGGGCACAAGCTGGCTCATGTTCAGCTCCACCAATCAGCTCCCCCCCATGCGCAGCTTGTCAGCCACTCTTCCCCAAGCCTGGAGCATTGCATGGGGTTGCTGTGGCCCAAGTGCAGGACCCGGCACTTTGCCTTGTTGAACCTCATACCACTGGCCACAGCCCATTGGTGCAGCCTGCCCAGATCCCTCTGCAGAGCTTCCTACCCTCCAGCAGATCAACGCTCCCACCCAGCTTGGTGGTGCCTGGTGTACTCCATCCAGGAGCC